AATTGTATGAAAAAAGTCAACAGGATACTCCCCATCCTTCAATTAAATCAATTGTGTGATAAAAGTCAACAGGATACTCCCCATCCTTCAATTAAATCAATTGTGTGATAAAAGTCAACAGGATACTCCCCATCCTCAATTAAATCAATTGTATGATAAAAGTCAACAGGATACTCCCCATCCTTCAATTAAATCAACTGTGTGATAAAAGTCGACAGGATACTCCCCATCCTTCAATTAAATCAATTGTATGATAAAAGTCGACAGGATACTCCCCATCCATCAATTAAATAAACTGTGTGATAAAAGTTAACAGGATGTGCCCCCTCCCTCAATTAAAACAATTATGTGATAAAAGTCAACAGGATACTCCCCATCCTTCAATTAAATCAACTGTGGGATAAAAGTTAACAGGATGTGCCCCCTCCCCTCAATTAAAACAATTATGTGATAAAAGTCAACAGGATATTCCCCATCCTTCAATTAAATCAATTGTATGATAAAAGTCAACAGGATGTGCCTCCTCCTCCCCAAATTAAACCAATAGTATGATAAAAGTCAACAGGATATTCCCCCATCCCTCAATTAAATCAATTGTGTGATAAACGTCAACAGGATACTCCCCCATCCATCAATTAAATCAGTTGTGTGATAACAGTCAACAGGATACTCCCCATCCCTCAATTAAGTCAATTGTGTAATAAAAGTCAACAGGATACTCCCCATCCCTCAATTAAATCAATTGTAGGATAAAAGTCAACAGGATACTCCCCCATCCTTCAATTAAATCAGTTGTATGATAAAAGTCAACAGGATGTGCCTCCTCCTCCCCAAATTAAACCAATAGTATGATAAAAGTCAACAGGATATTCCCCAATCCCTCAATTAAATCAGTTGTGTGATAAACGTTATTATATTAAACCCCTCCAATGGTAGCTCTGGTAGTTACTTGTATCAATTGTTAACAGCCATTTGTTTGCCCATATCCACAAAATGTATATTTTACATGAAGTATTTGTAACAATGTTCTTCTACTTATTTACACACCAGTTTACATACAAAGTTGTTTTCATTGTGGGTGTCTGTAGGTCCGTATGGCTTGGACATGTTATGATCATGAAAGCGATTTAACTTAACCTCTGAACTTTGACATGTGGACACAGACTCCAAATCTCTAACAAGCTGAACCTTGCTAAAGTAGCTATTAATATTTAACTTAACCTGTGAACTTTGACATGTGGACACAGACTCTAAATCTCTCTAACAAGCTGAACCTTGCTAAAGTAGCTATCAATATTTAACTTAACCTGTGAACTTTGACATGTGGACACAGACTCTAAATATCTAACAAGCTGAACCTTGCTAAGGTAGCTATTAATATTTTTGTTTTCGCCTAAAAGTTTGTATGTTTTTCATTCCCGTTGTTTATAATAAAGACTTGTTCAATCTGCAGAAAAAAACATGATTTCCAAGCATTTCCTGAAAATTCGGCTTTTCATGATACTCTTATCACTGGGATTTGTTATTCATGTAATATTGGGATTATACACGATAATACAGTCCGAACGACGGTTCAGAATAAAGCCTCGTCAAGTGGCTGTAATAGACGTCAGAGGGCATACCTATCACCGACATGTGGGCGAAGTCGTCGATATGAAATTAAGAAAAGAATATCTGAAACGACGACGAGGTGTAGAATCTTTTCAACCACATCTGATGGCCAGAAGAGAAATACTAGGTGAGCAACAACATATTTTGCTGAGTTTTATATTTTTCCCGTTAAAGATTAGAACGTTTTATTATCTAATATTATATTACAGTATTTATTTTTTCTTTTAAGAACTAAAAACATTATATTCGTAACTTAGGACTAAAATAATCCGTTAGTTCTTTAAATAATGGTTAAAAACCTTACATTTCTTGGATCATCCAATTAAACCTCCCCTTAACTTTAGCCTCTTGAAAACAACAAATATTTGTTAAGAAACTTAGTGCAGTTTTAAGATAGACTCCGGAATCGCCAATAGGATACAAGTGGATCTTTCTAAGATAGCTATACACCAAATTGCTTGTAGGTCCATAACTTTATTGGTTACAGGGTTTCCAATAATATACGAGTTACACACATAAATGATTTGTTCGTTTGTTTGTTGAATTTCTCGCAAAGCTACTCGAGGGCTCTGTGCTCTAACCTTCTTTAATTTAGCGGTGATAGATTATAGGGAAGGCAGATAGTCAACACCCCCACCACCAACTCTTGGGCTACTCTTTTACTAACGAATAGTGGGATTCACTGTCGAATTACATCGCTCCCACGGCTGAAATGGCGAGCATGTTTGGTGGCGGTGATTCGAATCCGCAGATTGCGAGTCGAGCGCCCCCTAACCCCCAGGAACACACAAATGTAAACTAAAATGGCATCGGTAATTTAGCTAATTCCACGTACCGCTGCTGGAGTTCTGTATGTATTTTTACATAGAAAGTTAATGAGTGACGTCACACAGTTTTTTTTTTTTTCATCAGTTCCTCACAGTGTGAGCTGTGAAAGTCAAAAACATATGATGCAATATTTGGATCCTATCGATAGTGAACGGTATAAAAATAAGCCTGAGCTTTGATAATTAACAAGCAAGAGAGAGAGAGAGAGAATATAAGAACGACTTAATGAGTTAGCTTGTAATGTAGCAATCATAACAGTTCCTGTAGTGAGCTTTATTGTGTAATATTCTTAGGGAAAGTTTTACCTTAAAAACATACGTTGTTAGAAAATCGTTTGTGTGAATTTTTCCATTAAGACTTTCATGTAAATGTATTTAAACAAACACGACCTATATCTTCAGATTTTTTTATTTATTGTATTATGTGTTTAATGTTGTGTACGCTGTAAGTCTTTACAGAAAGAGAGAGGTCAAAACGTTGGACATAATATAAAGTCAAACTTTTCTGGACTTATAAGTTGTTTTATTTTATTGTAATAAAAGTTTCATACCCCAGTTAGCATTTTTTACATTAACGCATAAGAAAATGTTTAAATACGACTCTCATAATACTATTTCTGTTGCAAACCAATAGTTTTAGGAAATGATGATAAACAAAAATAGTCAAAATAAGTAATTTATCATCGCAAAAATAATTAGATCTTAACGACTTTAAATTTGTTTATTTCTAAATGTAAGTTTTCTTAAGATATTCACCATGTTCATAAATATCTTAACAAATGTGTTAGAAAATACTGCAAATGCCTGTATTTATACGTATATAATTTTCAGTTTTTATTCAACCGTATTAAAAGTGTACAATCTATATAAAATTTCTGATGTTCAGAGTAAGCTAGCCATCATGCAATAGCAAAGCACACACAAAAAAGTAGGATGAAACAACACCTTACTTTTCGGTGCCTCGATTTTGATCTATTAATATCTTCCCCTAATGTTTGTGCAATTTAATCGTAAAGGTTACCATGGACACCAGTACCTAAACAACAAACAGACAGGCTACCGTGGCATCAGCGGAGAACCGGAAATCGTTCCTTCCACTTGTCAGACCTGCGTTTTGATTGGAACATCAGGTTTGATTGTTCAGTTCTAAAGACTGTAGTTGAAGATATTTATGGGGTATATTATTCTGTGATCTGTATGCTTCGAAGCATTGAAATATTTACATATACAGTACTTCTTATACTTTGTTGTAAGTCTCAATATTGTAAAGAAACCTACAGTGTGGGGATACTATAACCCTAAATTATAATATCATATTTTACTGAAATATATCTGGAATAGGAAATGAAAGAATGCTCTATCCTAATTGGCTGGTGTTAGCTATTGTGTTGTGACAATAATATTTTTAATATTTACTCTATCCTAATTGGCTGATGTTAGCTATTGTGTTGTGACAATAATATTTTTAATACTTACTATATCCTAATTGGCTGATGTTAGCTATTGTGTTGTGACAATAATATTTTTAATACTTACTCTATCCTAATTGGCTGATGTTAGCTATTGGGTTGTGACAATAATATTTTTAATACTTACTCTATCCTAATTGGCTGATGTTAGCTATTGGGTTGTGACAATAATATTTTTAATACTTACCACGTAATCTAGTTCCTGAAATAGCAATTATTGAAGTTCACACTTAGGCCTAAAATAACTCGTATCAAACGTGACAGATAAATAAAGCTACGACAGAATACATGAAAATACAGAATTAATTACACAGGCCTGAAAATTTAAACTTCATAAAAGTTGTTTTGGTTTTAGTAACGGATTTTGCATAATTCAGCTACGCAGAGTTCGAAAGTAATATTCATTTTTTTCTATTGTGTAAGGATTCTTTACAAATCGAGAAGAAAAAACAAAACAAACTCTTACTTAGATCAAATTATTTTTTCGTTTACCACAATGAACATTTTTTATTATTATTATGTGTGTTTCTCGTGGGTTTTAGAACGATCAATAAGACTCTCACGTCGCGATTGGTCTAGAGAAATCTATAGCCAGCGGTTGTCAACATTTTAAGCATAACAAAATGTGACCCTATTTCAATGAAAATGGTTCACTTATGTAAAAGTACATATGACGTTTTTTGAAAAATCTGTACGTGATGGAGAAAAATGGATATAATTTTCGGATTCAGCGTACAAGAATTACTGTAGAACATGTAACAAATTCAAGACAATAAAACCATCGCAGGCCTGTGTTATCAAGACAATAAAACCATCGCAGGCCTGTGTTATCAAGACAATAAAACCATCGCAGGCCTGTGATATCAAGGCAATAAAACCATTACAAGTCTGTGTTATCAAGACAATAAAACCATTACAGGCCTGTGTTATCAAGACAATAAAACCATCGCAGGCCTGTGTTATCAAGACAATAAAACCATCGCAGGCCTGTGGTATCAAGGCAATAAAACCATTACAGGTCTGTGTTATCAAAACAATAAAACCATTACAGGCCTGTGCTATCAAGACAATAAAACCATCACAGGCCTGTGTTATCAAGACAATAAAACCATCACAGGCCTGTGTTATTAATTTCTATTGTGATTTTTATAAACATTTTAAAATCCTTTTATTAATTAGTATTGTTGTTATGTTTATGAATTACGTGTGGGAGGACTTATCTATGACTTTTTTTCTCTCTATTTTTTTAAAAAACTTTACAGGAACAATTATTGGATCTAACAGAGGTGCACAGATTGACGCAGCGGACTGTGTATTTAGACTTGGACTTTCTCCTGTTACCAGTTTCACGAACGACGTTGGAAGTAAAACTACATTTCGGATTTTAGACGCGAAGAAGTGAGTCTTCAGTTGTTATAAAACACTTTTGAGTGTTTCGTTGTTTAGTGCCAATAAAGCTTATAAGCACTAAAACGACTCACGATTAGTATGTGGTAGGTATTGTTCATACACGTTGAACGTGTGTATTCCATTAACTGTCATTACATGTTGACGTAATAGGCTGTCGATTTCATAACCTCAATAGTATAAGCCTTTTCACGCAAGTAATGCGGAAACGCAGTAGTTTCATTGTACATGTTTAGCTTTCTAGTTTTTCAGCATAAAATGTTAAGAGGGTAGAAATACTGTGATTATTTTGGATTGAATTTTAAAGTTGGTTACATAAGTCAGCGATTTCATTTTCATTGTGCTCGTTTTATGCATTATGAGAATTACTAACTATAAAAGGCTTATTCCCTTTGTCACTCTGTCGAGAACGTTTTCCCTCTCCTTTTTTGGTAATGCTCAACAATATACATCGTCGCTTAGCAACAAAACTGTCAACTGATTGTTCTTAGGCTAACTATGGTGTTTATGTTGAATGCTCAGTACTTGTGGTGATTTGTTAGGAAGGTTTGTTTTTATTCTTTATTTTTTGATAATTTCGATGATATAACAGCAAAATAGTTTAATTAAGAAGTTTTATGACGTTCAGTTTTAGCCAAAAGCAAAATAAAATTGACCAAGTAGTGTTTTAGCTAAGTTTTATATTACGTTTATGTATTAGGCTTAATACTTAAATTAGACTACAAATAGGGCTACTATTACCGAAATTATTTGTTTGTTTGAAGTTAAGCACAAAGCTACAAAATGGGGTATCTGTGCTCTGTCCACCACGGGTATCGAAACTCGGATTTTAGCGTTGTAAGTCCGCAGACATACCGCTGTGCTACTGGGTGGGGCTACTGACATTATAGAGTCAGTGTTTAAAAAGTTTTAAGTGGTGAAGAAATGTTAATTAATAAATATTCTTTTGGTATTTTAACACATATATATTACCTACTTGGCCTTGAAACATAAAGAAAAATAAACGTTTATTACTACCAAATATCTTTTATCCTTTGTACAGTTTAATTAAAGAGTTGAAAATTTGTGTCGGAATGTCCGCACTATGTTTTCTACATCCTGACCTAGAATACAGTAAAAAGGCTCAAGAGTGCTATTTAAGTATCTTTCAGAGTGCACGCGTACTTTTGTTCACGATAACATTTCATTTTTCTGCGTAGTTTTTACTAAAAAGGTGGTGATTAAAAAATTACTTCGAAAATGATGAACTAAATGAAGAGTAGGCACATTTTAGAGATATAGACAAATTTGTTTTGGTTAAATTCTATAATTTTCGTTAATCATTCAACAATGGTTTCCCGTCACTTTTGACGGGCTTATACACTAATATATTTGACAAATGTATATGGGCAAACTGTTAAGAATGACTAAACGCAGAAAAAGTCGTTTATATGTGACATTTAAAAGTCACAAATTGTAAACATTTAAACAGGCTTGGTGTATTAAACATTACTTAACGTTTTTGTAAGAGATCGAAATTGTCGAATTACGTAATTAAGTGCTGAAGCAAGTAAAATCTTAATTAATTTGGCAATTCTAATTATACAGTGGTTCCCAAACTATTTTAGTCTGAAGCTATTTTGATGTGAATAAAAATGCTTGAGGCCCCCAACCTATAAAAATGTCCCTCCCCCACTACTTTAGCATGATGATTGAAAAACAGTGCTGTAGTAAAAACAATAACATCTCCTTTCGATATACTGTATCATTTAATTAATTTAACATAATTTTTTATCGGCTTATTGTTTATTTAGAATTAAAATCAATTCAGCATCTTTGTTTTCGGCCCATTTTTTTGGCGCCCCCCCAAAAAAAACACTCAAATCTAACACAGGAATAGCTAAGAGAATAACTGTTCAGTTGCTTTTACACATTAGATTATGAAGTTATCTTCTTGGGATCAATTTTTGGAAAGCGATCTAGCTTTCTGGACTGTCATTTTTCTTTTTTTTAATTGTTTAAGTATTTTAGTGTTCCGTTTCATTAAGTATTTTAGTGTTCCGTAGTGCTGTATTATTCATTAAGTATTTTAGTGTTCAGTAGTGCTGTATTATTGTTTAAGTATTTTAGCGTTCCGTAGTGCTGTATTATTCATTAAGTATTTTAGTGTTCCGTAGTGCTGTATTATTCATTAAGTATTTTAGTGTTCCGTAGTGCTGTATTATTCATTAAGTATTTTAGTGTTCCGTAGTGCTGTATTATTCAGAATGAATTACCCGATTTAACAGATGAATGAAAACAAGATGAAATTCTGTTTGTGTTCAGTTCGCTATCAAATATTTCACAAAAGACCGCGTTCAAAATAACTGTTCTGGAAACATCTGGTATATGCCAAAAAAAAAAAAAGAAACGAAGTGTGAAATTGACAGGTAGCTAACACGTTTGTTAAGTGCTGTAAGCTGTCACAGTTACTGACGTCAGAGAAACATTCTCCAGTTGTGGCCGTTTCAAAAATGTTTGCTTACCTTTTAATATATATTGTCTTATTTCTATTTATGATACACTGGGAATAATAATTAATATTTGTATTTGTTTACAGTTAAGCGGAAAGTTACACATCTGTGTTGTGCCTACTGTGGGTTTGTTTGTTTGTTTTTTCAATTTCGCGCAAAGCTACACGAGGGCTATCTGTGCTAGCCGTCCCTAATTTAGCAGTGTAAGACTAGAGGGAAAACAGCTAGTCATCATCACTCACCGCCAACTCTTAGGCTACTATTTTACCAACGAATAGTTGGATTGACCGTCACATTATAACGCCCCCACGACTGAAACGGCGAGCATGTTTAGTGGGACGATGATTCGAACCCACGATCCGCAGATTGCGAGTCGAGCACTCTAACCACCTGGCCATGCCGGGCCCCTACTATGGGTATCGAAACCCGTTTCTTTAGGGTTATAAGCGTCCAGACTTACCACTGAGTCACTGAGGTGGGGGAACATAAATAATATAACAGAATACATCAATTAAAGCCCCCCAGTGGCACAGCGGTATGTCTGCGGACTTACAACGCTAGAATCCGGGTTTCGATGCCCGTGGTGGGCAGAGCACAGATAGCCCATTGTGTAGCTTTGTGCTTAACTTAAAAAAAAACAAAACATAAATTAAAATCATTCGTCCACTAAAATTTCTCGATTCAGTGGAAATAAAATTTGATAGCGATGGAAGGAAATAATTCATAATTAATTTTCCATAAACTTCATTTTACACAGAAAGTAAAGGTAGAGAAACTATGTATTTACTGAAGATGATATATAATAAATTTCTTACATATATATGTGTGTGTGTGAGCATTTTGGTATTTTCAATCCGAGTAACACGTGGGCTAAGGCCAGATCAGAGACCCAAAATGTTCAGGCAAAGTTCTCCTTAACTTAGAAGTACTGATCAGTTAAAAACACCCCCAGTCTACACGGCTACTCTTGACCAAAAAGCGGAATTAGTTGTCACAGCTGAAAGTGCGAAGCATTCTCAGCGGTACATCGCGACTCGAATCTTAGACTCTACGATACGCAGCCTGAACCTTATGAGCAAACTTAGCATATAATATAAGCCCAGTAACAGTGTAAATTTAAAGATGAAATGAATCTATAACAGTTTGGGTGTCATTAGTAATTCATATTCATTATAACTCGTACGTACGTCTGTGTGTTACGAAGTTTGCGAAATAATTTAAGATTAAGGTTGTTTTACATATCTGGGTCTTAATTTAAACCGAGTATTGTAAAATTAATTAGGTCCCATTTCATTCAGATAACTAACTTAAACCATTTCTGTGTCAAAGTTGAGTCACAGTTAAAATTATTAGGCGTGTTGTTTGTTTCCTTCTCATTTCTTTAGTCTAATAAAAAAATTATCATTGAGCTCCTTTTTTTTTGTGTGTGTGTGCAGTTTCCAGGAAATAACGAAAAAGCCTCAGAAGTTCGTTCACGGAGCTCTAGCGAGTGGGCACGTGTTTGTGTTTGATCTACCGAATGTGGCCGAGATTGTGTCCTTCCCCAGAAGCCTGAAGAAATTGACTAAACAATACCGTTCAATCGTATTCTACCGTGTAGACAGACAGGGTGAACAGCGATCTCTAGTGTCCATGAGGGAAGCAGCAGCCCGGGCAGGGTAAGTCTGTAAACTGTATCTTGTTTGTTGTTAAGCGCAAAGCTACACAGTGGGCTATCTCTGCTCCACCCGTTTTTTTTTGTTTTTTTATCGTTATGAGATTACAGACTTACAGCGGTGCCACTGGGGGGGGGGGGGCTATAACTTATGATAAAAAGAAATTATTTAGTCTTTTATCATTCTTACATATAGGTTCCTGATCTCCAAAGTGCAGTTAAGCATGCTTAGGAATAGGAATTCCAGTCTTATGTTTATTTGTAATTCTTAGAGAGACAATTAGTTGTTAATTTCGATTATCTTATAGTTTTAACACTTTTCTTACGACAGTAATTTTCTACTTACTTTCTTATTCTGTGATGCGTCTTTTGTCTTTGTTTGCAATTAAGCACAAAGCTACACAATGGGCTATCTGTGCTCTGCCCACCACGGGTATCGAAGCCCGGATTCTAGCATTGTAAGTCCGCAGACATACCACTGTGCCACTAGGGGGCGAAGTCATATTGTTTGTTTGTTTGTAATTAAGCACAAAGCTACACAATGGGCTGTTCTGTGCTCTGCCCACCACGGGTATCGAAACAATGGGGGCTCTGTGATGCGAAAACTTTGAAGTAAAATCGTCCTATGGTGTAAAATACTTAAAAGTCAGTGGCACCAATTATGCTGGAACCAGCCGCCCCAAGCAAGCCTTAGTGTTTTTTTTTTTTTTTTTTTTGAGAAATGTAAAACGTCTGGTTAATGGACTATGTTTATGGGAAATTACTGATATTAATATATAAAAAAGTACGAAGTTGGAATTT